GAGGTTCTAATTAATTAAGATTGTTTATGGTATGTTTTCTCATTGCCTTTAATATGCTTACCTAAATTGTAAAGCCTCAAGTAGGGAATTCTCAGATTTATTTAACCACAAAATCTCCTTGCTTTTTATTGTTTCTCATTGAATATAAATAATGTCTCGTGGGCATGATGTACTACAGTTCGCAGTCTAGGAATGTTCTTCATTTCACACACGTTGTACAGAAGAATAGAAAAACAGGCACGACAATGTCTTCGTTCTTTGATGACCTGCAGTGCAAACAACTAACCATCAAAGAAAGTGCTTTTAGCTTTACAAAACATCATGAATACACTTCTTTTTCCATTGTACAAAACCACATATCTAGGCACTCAAACCTTATGATCACTCAATCTTGTCAATGTCATCAGCTTTAACCTTGAAAGGTTTTCAACATTTTTATAGAATGTTGTAAAAAAAATGAGTTAAAATTGGCATAGATCCAGCTTTCTGTGAGATTTATTTTACCATATTATAATTCCTTCAAAGTATTTGTAGTTCATTGCCTATTGTGTCATAGGAACACTATTCACTTGTGTGATGGCATTACATTTCTCTAGTGCTCCTTATTTTGGTTTCAGAGTAATAACATAAAAAACACATTATTCAGAAGTTTTGTTTTATTTATTTTCCCTCTAGCCCTGACGGTAGATTATATTAATCAGTTTTTGTTGTATTTAATGTTTCTGTGTCAGATAGTGTATCCTACATGGCTTTCCACAACTGGGCACGGGTTTATTCAAAGAGAAGTTAACGAGCTTCTGTAGGAATTATTCCCACTATATTCCATTACAACTAAGCTGAGTTGGGGAGATATAATTAGAAATAAAATCTCTTAGGATCTCAGTGAATCCTTCCCATGTAGAAAAGAATGAAACAGTTTTATTATTGTGTAAAGATTGATCAGACTGAGATGCACTTCACATGCAATCTGCTGACAAGATTGCAATGAAAGAAATCTCTCCCTTAGCTAGGTAGGCAGATACAGTTCATTACATTTATGCTAATTGTCTTTATTGAAAGAAAAAAATAAAAATTTTTTGTATCTTTTTTCCTTAAAGTATAATTGATTTCTAACATTATATTAGTTTCAGGTGTACAACATAATGATTCATATTTATATACATTGTGAAATGATCACCACAATAAGTCTAGTTACCACTTGGCACCATACAGAGTTATGTTTTTTTTTCTTATGTTGAGAATGTTCAAGATCTGCTCCCTTAGCAAATCCCAAATATGCAGTACAATATTATTGACTATAGTCACCATGCTGTACATTACATCCCAATAACATTTATTGTATTACTGGAAGTTTTCATCTCAACTTGTATCTTTATGCCAAGCAGGAAGTAGCATCATGAAGCCAAGTACATAGTTTTAAATTCCCCAGAGCTGGGGAAAGGAATGCCATCCACCCTCCTAGAAGTTCATACATCAAGGAAATTGCTCTGAGGCCTCTGAGAAATGCATTCCTGGGATGCAGAACCAGTATGAGGTATATTAATCTTTTAAAAAGATTTATATACATCTTAAAAAGAGAAAGCATTTAGAATTTCAAGTTTTCTAAGGTAAATGCTAAAGGGACAGGGAGGAGTACTCTTCCTTTTTGGCACTAGGGAAAAATTAAGTTAATTAATTTTTTTTAGAACTGTATTTACCCTTGCAATTTCCCATTTTTGCTACTACTTTATAGTTACACTATGGTTTTTTTTTTTAAATTGTCTCCATTTCTGTGTTGTCTCCTTCTTCTGAGCAGTTTGCAGTTGTGTAAATATCCAGCAAGTCCATAGTAAAATACAAAATCAAGTAATTATCAGAATTACAATAGGATGAATTTAAAAAATTAATACAATATTCACCTTGAAGGAATATTTTTTGAGGGAATATCTTTAACTACATCACACTAATGATACGATTCTTCATTAGATTTTTGATTCTTGATTAGCAGCGCATAACATTTTCTTGGTATCTTACATTCACAAACTCTAGTGGAGACTTTTTGCTTGTGCTTTCAAATGAGTATTTCAGCATTATTTTGTAGTTTCTTATGAAATCTTATCCAATCCAAGCCTGTAATCTAATAATATAAATTTTTAATTAAGAATTTTTCTTATTATCCCCAATGAATTTCTCCTAAGTAACATTGCATTTACATGGTAATCTAGGCCCTTCAGTAATTATTCCATTTTCCCAAGTAATTTTTCCTACATCCAAAACACAAAGATACCCATGGCTGTTCTCTAGTATTAAAGTCTTATTATAAGACACCCATTGAAGGATACAGATTGGACTTAAAGTGTTTAAGGTACAATGTATTGTCTTGAGAACAAATATAAACTGGGCCTTTTTTTTTTTTGCATTGGTCTAATCAATAATTGTATTGTCCATTATATCTCCATGAATAACAGGCCTCTACCTTTGTTTGCTTTCCATCCTGGTCCTGGAGAGAACTTGCATGATAGGCAGTTGAGATATGGTGAAATAACTGTGAGCCTTTCCTCAGGGAGCCTACATTCCAATAGGATTTCCTTTCACTTAACTCATTGTCTCAAACACCAACTCAAGAAACTTCATTCCTTTTCAAAGCGTAATCTGAGCACAGTGTTTTCAGAAGAAGACTCAGGGATGCTTCTCCTCACAGACTTTGGATCAGGGCACACACACAGGATGTTTGTGGTTGGCCACAAATAAGAGAGCCCAACATTTACAAACTTGAGCAGCAAGGCAATTTGGTGGAAGGGCATATGATGGTGCACAGAGCAGCAGGAGCACTGGAGTTAGGGGGACCTGGGGAGATGGCTAGCAAAAAAGAGTTAGGCAGCTGATAGCGCAACCTGATTTCCATGGGGAGAATTTGGCTGGAGTGCTGGTGCTGGGAACTTTTTGTTTGCTTGATTCTGCTGATGCATTTTCAGAAGTCAAAATTTCAGTCACAAGTATCTGATCAACTAGAGCCATCTTCCAGTAATGTCAGCTCCATTATAGCAAGAGACTAAAGGGAGAGAAAGAGTTATCCCTCTTTGCTTTCTAGAGTGGGAGATGTCATTCTGCTTATTTTGATACTTCTGTCAAATGGTGCTCACTTTATGAATACATCATTCTAAGTGCTTTGCATATATTAATTCATTTATTCTTACAGAAACTCTAAGTGGCAGATATTATTTTTTCCATTTGTACAGTAAAGAAACTGGGCATAAGAAATTAATTAATTTAATTTTTATTTTTTAGATTTAGTTTGCCCCAATCACACAGTAAGTGGTAGAGACAAAATCTGAAGCTAGACACTCAGGTTTCAGAATGAGTGGTCTTCTCAGTATTGCTCAGCCTTACCAAAGACAAGTGATCAGAGGTCTTACTATAAAGAAAAGGAAAAAAAAAAAGAAAGACAGAAAAAGAGAAAATAACCAATCAAATCAACAATCAAATGTTTGGTTTATTTGGTGATAAAATATAGTTTCTAAATGTAGCTTCTATTTTTCTCTATACTTTATGTATTATAAATTTGTGTTTTTTAAAAAATTTTGTATTTTTTAAACATGTAATTTTGATGTAATGTTAGAGTTATAGGAGATTTACAAAGACAGTACAGTTCCCATGTGTAGTTTTACTCAGCTTCCCTATAGTTAACACTTTACATAGCCACACAAAGAAATTAACAGTGATCCATCACTATTAACAAACCACAGACTTTAACCAATTTCCTGTTTTTCCACTAAGGTCCTTTTTCTGTTCCAAGGTCCACTCCAGGATCCTATATTGTATTTACTTACCATGCATGTTTCTTTACCTCCAATCTGTTCCAGTTCCTCATAACTTTGATACTTTGAATGAATAATGGTCAAGTGTTCTGTTGAACATTCTTCAATTCAGGCTTGTCTGATGTTTTCTTATGATTAAGGTTATGGATTTGGAGGAAGAATATCGTTCTAGTGCATTCTATCAGGGAAGTTATATAATATCAATATGTCATATTATTAGGATTTTAACATTTATTATTTAGTTACGGTGGCTCTGTTTTATTTTTATTTTTTTATTTTTTTCTGTTTTATTTTTTAATCATGATTTTTTTCTTTACTTTTAAAAATATTGCTGAGTTAACATTTCCAATATTTAGTAGATTTTATTTATTTTTTATTGCAACTTTTCTTATATTGCAAAACCTCTAACTCCTATGGATTCCTAGACCACATATAACTAACTCACTCTTGCTCTTCAGTAACTAAGTTCTTGTGATTTAGAACATAATCTGTTCCTTAAACCACATATAACTAAGTGCTCCATCTGATGTGTAATAAGCTAAGTGAAAGATGAGCAGTCCACTATGTCCATGTTTTAGAGTAAACTGTATAGCCAAAGGCAATCCTTATTCTGATACAAAATGTAGTACTACACTACGGAGTTAGTGAATTATAGTCAATTCTATTTAATGAGTATCCAGGCTCATTTCTTTTGCTGTTCTTAAAAGTCCTTCAGGCCAATTTGCCTCTTGGCTTAGGTTTTATGATACAATGTACAGCTCATTTAAAACAATTCTCCATACATAAAATTGTACATCTGTCTTTTGATATGTGTAAAATGTGCTGAAATAGTAGTGTAGACAAATTCTTGTTAAGGAAAACCATTTTGCAGTTGTCCCTGTGTAATCCCATGATCTTTTGTAATTTGTACGTTTTGCTTATAACTGAAGTATGTATTTAAAAACCATTATGATCTTACGCTTTTGTATTTCATATATGTACACACAAAACTATATATATATATATACTTAATATAATTTATTATTTTTATTTGAACTCTTTCTTCCTTATACCAGAGAGCCAATCTGTAATCTCTTTTAATTTTTTTTGCAACTTTAGGAGTACTATTACATGTTGTTTGTGTGTGTTTGTTTTTTTTCTTTAAAATAAATAGTAGCATCTGCTCTAGGCCTCCAACAGAGAGTGGACAAAATTTTTTTTTTTAAAAACATAGAATGCTTCCTAAATTTGCGTGTCATTCTTGTGCAGGGGCCATGCTAATCTTCTCTGTGTTGTTCCAATTTCAGTATATGTGCTGCCTAAGCAAGCATGACAGTGAAAATTTTTAATGTTTGGTAGGCCATTTGTTTAAATTTAAGTGGGTGATAGTGAAGATGTGGCTAAGAATAGGAAAAGAATAAAAGTACATATTCATGATAAGTCAGTGTTTAGGATGCTTCAGTTCTAGCAATGCTCTTATATTTATCAACTTGGAGCATGGTGATCCTGGTTATTTAATACACCATTCTAGTGTATTTTGCTTTTGCAAAAAGAACTTAGCATTTAAAACAGTTGCCCTCTGCTTAGACATCTAGTCACTTAATCATTACTTAATATCTCAATCCTTAGGCACCTTAAAGAGCATCTTAGTAGTCTTACTACAAAATTTAAGTTTGTTATATGATTGCCTTAAAACAACTTTATTAGTTTTTCACTGCTAAGGGCTAGTATGGAATCCTAGAACCCTGGCTTTTGATCTTAACAATAATATATGAGAAATCATAAGAATTAAACCACTTCCCCCTCTCCCCCCAGCTTACTTTCCAGGATATGTCATAAATGATATATCCACAAACCAGTTTTTCCTTTTATTTTATTTTATTTTTTGTTTGTTTTCAGGTGAGTGTGGGGAAATGGGAGAAACCATTTGGCAATGGGAGCGGGATATGAAATTAAATATTTCCATAGATCCATCAGGTTTCTGGACAGATTAAAGAATCTTTACTCACAGACAGCATGCATTAGTGGTGTGCTGGAGCTGGCATGCACCAGCTTGCAGGAACCAGTTATTAAATTCTAAAGAGTTTTGTCACCCAGTTATTAAACATAGCCATTATTAAAAACTGAATTAAAGAAACTTACGATTAAATACTTTTAAAGCAAAAGGTAAAAAAAAATAAAGCAAAAGGTAATAAAAACTCAAGACTCATCATTTTCTAATTTTCAAATTATGCCTTAGTATTGGTACTCGAAGTTATTTGTATCGGTAATCTTTGAAATACAATGATTTGCCACTGCCCACCTATTCCCAATTCTGTGTACAGAGACTTCATGTTAGTAGCCTTGAAAGGTTATGATTAACATATGAGTATGTATTCTCTTAAAGAAAATAAAATTAAACATAGAGACCCTGTGATTTAAAATCACTATTCCCCTATCATTACCGACATTCTGTTAGTCAAACACACTATTCTCCTATTCACTTCAAGGTGTTTGAAGTGATACACATGGGAACATGTGGGTTCCCTCCTGAGAATCTTAAAACATTGAAATTTAGGTGTAAGACATCATGCCCCAAGTATTATATTCTTATTTGTACTGGATGTTCACCCTTACAGTTTCATCTACACCCCTAACAAAACTCTGCATAGGTCGCTCTTGTGAACTTGGATGTTCCTTTTACTTTGGTCATTAACAGTGTCACTAAAAAATATATTTTCTTAGTTCACCTTTTTAAGCTTTGGAATGAAAGCTATCCGATTTGATAATGTTAAGAGAATATAATAGCCATAAAATCATTCTCACAGTGAAAAAAAAAAAAATACAAAAAATACAAAAAAATAGCCATAAAATCATTCTCACAGTGAAAAAAAAAAAAATACAAAAAATACAAAAAAATACAGTTTGCTGCTGTATTCCCATTGCTTGGAATCCTTTCCCCTTCACTGTACACTTGGATATTTTTTCCCATCAGAGTTTACATTTTATTCTTTCAGAAAAATCTTGTCTGATTATCCTATCCAGAATAGTCCACCCTGTCCTGCCTATTCCCTGACCTGAAACATCATTTGCCATTCCTTCATATGGCCTTATTTTCCTTAGAGCATTTATTATTCATTGAAAGTATATGGTTTATTTGTTTATATGTTTACTGTCTTTCCCTCTTGCTAAACTATAAACTCCCCAAGGGAAGGACTCTTCTATTACCTTTTTATTTCTGGGGTTTTTCTTTTCTTGTCTTTTTTTTTCTGGGGTTTTTCAGTGCCTAAAAGAGGGCCAGGCACACAGTAGATGACTCATATATTTTTGTGTAAAAATGATTTAATATTTGAATAGACAATATCAATGAAAGCTATCTAATTTAAAATAGAGGTTGAGAGATAGTAAAATTTGAATATGAGATAAAATTAAATTAGAGTACTACCACTTAACAAAAAAAGAGGCTTTAAGATTCTAAGATAAGCTATTGCAAAGAACACTTTTTTGGGGAGGATAAGTGTCATTTATAAAAGATAAAGATATTTAACTTTGGCTGCATTTTCTGAGGGATGGAATTTGGGAGTAGATTATGTCAAAATTCTAGTTAGAGATGGGTTTTGCATATTACATTAATTATTCTGTACTCATCTGTGGAAATAATCCTTCTTAAGCAACATAATTTACATGAATGAGGGAGAGGGTTTTATTTTAAGGAACAGCAGCATATTCAGATTTTTTCGTGGCAGTCCTCCAGCTACAGAAGCTAGCTGTCAAAAACTACTTTCTTTCCCAGAAGGCTTTTGTAAGGTGGAAGCTGAGGCTGCAGTTCTATTCCAAGCCAAACTTTGTACAATATGAGCAAATAAAATGCAAAAGAACATTTTCAGTGACTTTGATGAGGGTGGCTATTTCTAATATTTAAGAGTCCAGTCAAATTTATTGCTGCTTTTAAAAAACTGTGATCAGGAATGGATAGATTATCTGTTATCCATTAAGAACTGAAGTGTAGGGATCCCTGGGTGGCACAGCAGTTTAGCGCCTGCCTTTGGCCCAGGGCGCGATCCTGGAGACCCGGGATCGAATCCCATGTCGGGCTCCCGGTGCATGGAGCCTGCTTCTCCCTCTGCCTATGTCTCTGCCTCTCTCTCTCTCTCTCTCTCTCTGTGTCACTATCATAAATAAGTTAAAAAAAAAGAACTGAAATGTAAGATTCATAAACTGAGGAGTAAAGGGTAACAAGGATATTGCTTAAAGGGAGTGATGTGGAGGTTGGCAAATATTTGGGAGAAAGCACATTTATTTATTTCATTCATTTATTGCACATATAGTTTTAAGCACTAATTATGTGTTAGGCATTGTTTTTGGTCCTAGGAATATACATAAGAGAATACTTTCTAGCTTTAAACAGCCTAATAGGGTAATAAAATAAGTAAGCAGGTTATTGCAACACAATGAGGTAAGTGGTAGGATGAGAATGTTCAAGGCTTTCTAAGAGCCCATGAAAAAGACAACAGCCCAGATTTATGATGTTTGTGAAGTTGATCACATAACCATGATTTACCTCATGGTTTAAAAAGTCTCTGACTTGTATGTAAATAATGAATTGAAGCACACAATGATGTGCTAACAAATGTTTAAAAACTGGCTCTTCAGAGGAACAAAACTCTCAGATTTGTGGCATTTGCCCATTTCTGTGGTGTAAATATATCCACTTTGCTGATTTTAAAGCTACTAAGCCGGCAGACATAGTATATTTGAAGTTACAAGAGAAAGAGACTAGATAACAGAGGAAGGCTCCTGAAAAATGAGATAAAGGTAGGTTCAAGATGAAAGGAGGGTGAATAGATCCTCCACTAACCAAAGGGAATAAGAATAAGGGTGTGGATCTAGATGCATTTTTTGTGGTTTATGGGTCCACCCTGACCCATAATTACAATTATGCAGAGTTACAATTTGCAGAAATAATTTGAAAATTTTCTATCTACTGGTTTGATGGGGACTACTAAGTTATCCTCTGGTATTAATTTTATTTTTATTCTTATTAATAATAGAATCTCCCTTGTAATGGTCTCTTTTGCAGCTAATGCAGTTCTGTGACTATGTTTGAGTCCATGGGATATGAATGGGATGATGTGTATATTTTTTAGGAAAGGTGCAGCAAGTGGCTTACTTTGGATTACCCTTTCTCCTTCCACCTGATTGGGAAATGACTAAAACGGCATCCAGTCTTGGATACAGAGATGAATACCATATATTTTCATCATGTGAGGGCATGAACCAAGCTGTCTTTTTGGAATGCTGGCTATCCTTCTGAGCAGAGCCTAGTCTGCTTGCCTATCTGCCTTTGCACATTATGTCAGAAGAAAATAAGCATTTATCTTATTTAAGTACTGGATTTTTGAATCTCTTTGTTATAGCAGTTTAGACTGTCCCCTAACTAGTACAGTTTCTGTATTCTCTGTGAATGAGGAGATAAAATTATTTTTGAAGAATTTAGAGTTCATTGGGAAGGACATACAGTTTGAAAGGAGTGAAGTTAGTTTGAAATAGCTAGGGGATGGGGGATAGGACAATAGACAATAGTTACTTGGAAAACATAGAAACATTGCTTGGTAATCTTGAGGAATAGAAGACCATTGATCATGGAAAAAGGAAACGATATAAATATGAATTAACTAAATAAACTCAACAAAACAGGGGAAAGCCCTAGCAAACAATTTTAATGTAGGCCATGCAGTTTCTATCAGAAATGTTCACATTTCTCAGACATATATTTAAAAATCATTTAATGATAGTAAAGGTTACAAGTATATTTTCAATGTTATATACTTTAGTTTTTTAGAAAGAGAGAGAGAAAGAATGCAGGGTGGGAAGGTCAGGGGGAAAGGGAGAAAGGGAATCTTAAGCAAGCTGCACGCCCAGCATGGAGCCTGATGTGGGGCTCGATCTCACAACCCTGAGATTATGACCTGAGCTGAAATCAAGAGTCCTATCCTTAACTGTCTGAGCCACTTAGGCACCCCTCAATGTTACGTACTTATTTAAATGCTCTACGTATATAGCTTACAGGCTTGCTTGACTTTGAAGACTAGCTATATTTAATCTCCAGATCAAATAGGAATAAAATGCTAGGATCATTGAAATTAAATAAGATGGAAAATGCTTTACTGTTATTGTGGGAAGCGTCCTGAAGGAGATGGTTTAATTAAAACTCAAAATTCATGTATCTTTACACTTTGAAAACTGAGCCCATATTATTGAGTTTACCTTTCTACTATCATACATCTTTTCAAAAGGGAGCAAAATCATATTTGACTTTAGGATCTTTTAGGCCTAGACAGTTGTAGC